TCCAGTGGCTTTCTCTTTTCCTTATCACCATCTTTTGTGTTCTTCGAGAGTCTGGTCGAAAAACGCCGGAGTTTGAACCTAAGAGTCGCTCCTCACGAGGAGATACTGGAGTATTCACTTCCTCAAGAGTTGAGGACCTTCAACCCACCCTCGGGGGTATGGCTACTAACCTGTTCAGCCATTGCTCTGCAATAGGGAGTAATTTTGTATTTAGAATATTAGGTTTACTATTACCTAATACTTTTAGATATATAGATATATATATATAGAATATATATATATATAAAATATATATATATAGTATATATATAATATATATTCCTATGGTTTCTATCCCGATACTTACAATGAATTAAATTCAGATATTGTGAACTGCCAATAGTTTAAGTCTAAAAACCAATCCGTGATTATTCACTTAACCACTGCTCTGATACCATGATTGAAAGAACCCCTTTCTATACTTTCATATTTCTAAAGACCCAACTTTCATACTTGACAAATAGTTATCCAAAACATGCTACATGCATATTCATAAAACATATTTTATATTGATAAAGTTGTTACAAAATACGGGATACAAACCCACTATTTCATAGTGTTATAATATTGACATAACTCCCCAGGATACTATAGTTTTAAAATACAGATGGGAGTGCAAAAATACAATAGTTTCAACTATTTCGAAAATCTTCTATCAAAACATAGTTTCAAACTATTCAAAATCTCTAAAACCAGTATATCACTATACTGGATGCTTATCTCCTGCAAATTAGTTAAACATTGAAGGGTAAGCGGTGACGCTTAGTGAGTTCATAATAAAGATACAATATACGTTTATGCCATATATATACTTCACTATGGCAGAGGCAAGGAGGATCAAGGAACAACAAAGGCATAGTGATCATGTAACAACTTTCCATTCAATCATTGATTTGATTCAAAATATACAATCAATGAGACATAACAAGTTCCATACTTGATATACATCATAAAGCTTTGGCCCAATGGCACAGAAGACATACAATTCGGATTAACCTTTTGGTAGATTTCAGGCTTAGAGCCGTCTAGACCTTCTGCCAATCCATAGAATGAAATCATTCTCTTACGAGACTTTCTACATGGCCAGAGGCTATGTACCAGTACCAATATGATCTAGAGGTCCTTTCACTGATCACATGGTCAAAGGTATTACTTTGGCTATGAAACATAGCGAATAAAAATTAACACGGAAAATAAACCGAAATACACTGAAAGCACATAGTACATATAACACATAACATACAATTTGTTCCTATATATTAAACTCACCGAGAATAAGCCGGGGGTCCAAATAGTAATTCGGGCAGCACTTCGGCTCTAAATATGACTTTCTTTGTTGAAACCGGGAGTTTTTTCTTGAAAACCGGGCTCTGCGAAGTAGAGCTTCGAAACCGAAAAGATAATTTTTCGGGCTTCTCGGGGAATCTCGGGCGCGCGCTTCGGGCTTTGGAATAAGTAACCGGGGGCTTCGGGGGAAGTCGGAATGTAAGAAAATGTTGAAAAGGGGTGAAAAAGACAAAAATTCAAACATCTAACCGGGAGGTCTCGCACCCCTTATATAGGTGCGAGCCTCGGATCCGAAGCGAGGAGAGGGGGCAATTGTGCGAGGCTCGGAACACGCGTGCAGCAGGGCGAAGCTTCGGTCGGAGAGCTGGCTGCTTCGGATTGGGCCTCCTCCTCGTCGAATCAGGAGCTTACACACGCGGATCGGATCACGTGGGTGCATGCGAGGATCACGTGGCTTCCTTCGGACACCTGTGCGACACGACAACGCGTCGCTTCTCGGACCTGCCCATCAGCAATTCGGACATGTGGCCAGCTCCGAGCGAGGGTGACGTGGCAATCACTATTCATTGCGATTTTTCCTCGAAAATTGTGCCAAATCTTGTAAAATCCATAACTTTCTCATACGAGCTCCGCTTTTTGACGTTCTTTATATCACGCGTAGAGAAATTATGCTCTACAACAACTTTCGTTTAGACTTCGTCGGAAAATTTTTGACTTTATTTTTATATTATTATTTTTTAACAGACCGGGACTGGTAAATCCGTTAAAAATTCATAACTTCTTCATCCGACGTCCGTTTTCGTCAGACTTTTTACCGTTGTACTACTAATGACGAGACCTTCGATTCTCGTTTAGGTTGTGTCAGCTAAAAATCACTCGATCTAAAATTCGAGTTTTTAGTTGTCTACTGCTAAGCTGAAACTTGTAAAATCATAACTTCCTCATACGAAGTCAGATTTGGGCGTTCTTTTTTATCGAACTTCTCGGTTTAAGAAACTACGACTTTCATTTAGATCACTAAGGCTAAAAAATATTTATATCAAAAACTCACGTTTTACGTCATTCGGCACCGTGCCGTTTTTATCGCGGATCTTCGATTGGTCATAACTTCTTCGTTACAACTCGGATTTCGATGAGGTTTTCGCCTATATGTTTCTAATGAGATTATCTACAACTTTCAACAATAAAATTTTACTTATTTCAAATTTTATATTTTCGCTAAATTTCACTATTTAGCTTTTAATTGGAATCTCATAAGACTTCCAATAATTTATGAGTGATTCTAAACATAGTTTTACCTTATTTCTAGTAAAAACTATCTGTTAGAACTCAATACTCAATATCACATAATATTTCATAATATTATTTATATAAAACACGATCTCAAAACGTGTATGTTACACATATACCCATAAGAGGCCTATAAAATCTGATGCCCATGAAAGTTTGCTACCCTGGGCCATGGCCCAGCTCACCCTGGGCTTGGGCCGGCCCTGATTAGGGGTGAGCATAGGCGGGTACCCGACCAATTTTAGTGGAACCGGAACCGGAACCGGCGGTTCCTAAAATTTTGGAACCAAAACCGGAACCGGTTACATCAGTTCCTAAAGTTTTGGAACCGCCGGAACCGGTTCCGGTTCCGGGTACCCGCTGTTAAAATCTTTCAAATTATTATAAGTCAAAAATCATGAAAGTTTTAGAATTTATCTATTTCGAGAGTTGGTAATCATTGTTTTGAAAAGTTTTAAAGTTGTTGGTGTTACCCTAAGCCCGAATACTTCAACCCATATATAGAGTTTTTATTCGAAACCATGTGCTAAAGTGGAAATGAATTAAAGCGCATTCTCCATTTATAGCAAAATAGTCTTCAAAGATTTGTTGCAGCAAGCAATGTGGGATAATATGCTTTTTCCATAGAATTCAATTTCCGGCAAATATAGAGCACATCAACAGAACATACCTTTTGTTGAATACTAAACTTAAGTGAATTGCAATACGATTTCATTGTATTTCTTATTAGTTATCAATAAATCTTGATACATTACTAAAAAAATTTAAATCAACGTCAATATTCTAAGAACTTGAGCTTTATTATTGGAATTATTTACTAATAGTTTTGTATTCCTATGTGAAATATATGTGTTTCGGTGTTTATTTTATGTGATTGGATTGAACAAAAAACTTTATAAACTTCATAATTCCTATTCAATGTTAACAATATATATATATATATATATATATATATATATATATATATATATATATATATATATCAACGGTTCCAACGGTTACCCAGTGGGTAGCGGTTCCGAAAAAGTGAGCACCGGAACCGGAACCGCTTAAGGCGGTTCCACAACTTAAGGAACCGGAAGTTAAGGCGGATACGATTCCAGAACCGGTGGTTCCGAGGCGGTTCCGGTTCCGAAGGTGGGTACCCTGTTCCGTTGCTCACCCCTATTGACAATATGTGACTTCTACATGATGTTTACGTTTGTTGTGGCCGGTTGGGAAGATATCACATGATTCTAAAATTTTATCAGAAGCATTAGCAAATCCACATGCACTATTCTCGTTTCCACCATCGGGTAAATTTATGGTTATTTAAATAGATTTATCTTAGTTTGAAAAATAAATGATTTTTTTTGTTTTTTTACAGATAAATATTATCTTTGTGATGTTGTCTATGCAAACATTCGAGGTTTTATGGCACCGTATCGTAGTGTGAGGTATTGGCTTGGAGATTTCCGTCGAAAACGTGCATTAACGAATAAAGAATTAGGACAACCGTTTGAAAATAAAATAAAATCCAAAATTTTCAAATTTCGAAGAGGCATTAGACACTAATTTTGGAGAACCTGTTCCAATCCGGTTTCAACCTTAAAAAACCCAAATTTGTTATGTTCCATTAGATCATATCAAAACTTGTCATGTAATAACATATCGAAATTGGATAATCCGGTTTTTGTGTTCACCTCTACCTCTACTGTTACCTAACTTAACTAATCCGTTTTACCACTTGGATAATTTTGCAATGGGTTAATATAACAAAATGACAAACCAATGACTCTAAATTTGCTCTTATCACTCATCTTTTATTTTTATTCGTACTTAAAATGTCAATAAACCTTTTTTTTTCCTATATTTCAATACAACATTAGAATGAATTTCAACCCAATAAAATGATATCCAACCCCTTTATATGACGTCTACTTTTTCCGATATGATAGATTGTGTTAATTTATGTTCATGTAGTTGTTTATCCTAACTACACCCTATTGAGATTCAATAATTGCAATCTTAGAAAAATGCTACATAAAGTTGAAATGTACTCGTAATGAAACATATAAAACATGTTTATTAAATGAGTTGCTTGAAAAGCAAATTGAGAGTCATTGATAACCCCTTTGCAAAAGGCTTTCTGGAACATTGCATGCTGTAGATAAGATTTTGACTATAGGAAACTATCAACCGCATATGAATGAAGACAAAATTTTGCTTTTATTCTGATGTTTAAAATATTCCGTCCAACAAGGCTAAAGGGTAAAGCCCCGTTGTTAAACAACCTTGAGTTGGGTGTACTTTCAATCAACAAAGGAAACCCAAAAAAAAAAAAAAAAAAAAAAAGCACTCCAGTTTCCTTTTCCAGAAACCAGATTTCTGTTTAAATAATCTATACCACGTATACCTGTAGTCTTATAATCTTATAAACAAAAAAACATCTATGTACCAAAAAAAAACATAATTTAAGGTTTCACAGTCGGATGGGTAACCCATAATTGAGGTACGTTCTAATCCGCCCATCCCAGCCTGCTGCAACCACCACCAGACCCCACATATGTGGGGCCACAAAAGTACTCTGATACGCACTTTTCAAAAACCTGTACTCTGATTTACGCATTGATGGCGAAACACTTACTTGAGTAGAATCCGGAAGTGTTTCTGCGGGCCATGTTGGTGGGCCCTTCAACAACGACTCCAAGAAAAACCCACGATTTGTTGATGGTGATGGCATCCTTGGTGAATCTATTGTGCTTCTTGGAATAACAACATTATTGTGACTGTTACTGTTATTGTTATTGTTACTGTTATTGTTGTTAAATGTGAATCTTGGCGATGGAAGTGCGGCTGCTATGCTTTTGATCCCGCACCATGGTATCGCCATTGTTGTGTTTTGTGACAAGAAGTTTTCGAAAGATGAGTTGCTTTTTGGTTTTGTGAAGAGTTTGTCTGAGGTAATGTGGTTCCAGATGTACACGTTTGAATCATCGGCGGATGAGATTATGTGTTTTCCATCCGAGGTGAAACATGCCGACATTTGGCTTCCGGAACTTCTGTTCCCTGGTTAATACAAATTTCAAAATTCAAAATGATTCCAAATACGATATGACATGACAGAACAGACTGGACAGTGTTTTGGGTACGATATGACATGACAGAACAGGTTGTATTATGTTTTGGACTTCGGAATGAGACCGAGACTGATGTCGATACTCGATTGGACAAAAGTTATAAAAAGGTGGGACATGGATTTGGTATACGTGGCGATACCATGGTGCGGCATGACATGACATAACATAACATAACAGACTGTGTTTGTGCAAAAAGACGTGAATGCCCTTTTCATCCACGGAACGTACCTTTGAATTTACCTACGAGGTTGATCCCACAAAGGATTCTCACTTGGGAATCAGCCGATGAAACAATGACTTTCCGGGAGTCGATTGGGCAAAACTGGAAAATGGAAAAAATTTATAATATTATAAGCGAAAAATACCAAAAAGAGGAGAATAAATAAATGATATACCTGAAATCCAGTTATTCTCTTTGGCCACTTTTTTTTACTCATTGACCATATTTGAGTATGCAATTGCATCCGATCATCTGCAACATAAGTTCATCAACTTATTACAATATTTTTTAAACTTACCAACATTAAAATCAAAATATTTAAAGTAAAATTTATACCAATGATATCATAGAAACTGCATTTTCCATCCAAGGTTCCCACAATGCTTCCCTGTAGTAAAACAAAATAAAAGATTTTACGTTTTTAGTCAATAAAAAACATAATTAAAAGAAACAAAAAATAATAAAAAAAAAACACAACAAACCTTTCCATCTGGATTATAACACACAGCAGTGATAATATCACCAAGATCAATCCAATCGATAACCTGACAACTATTCACATCCCAGATGCGTACTTTTCCATCTATGGATCCACTAATAAAATAATTATCATCCACAGGATTAAACTCCACACATGTCACTGCATCATAAAATCACACCAAGTAAAACATATGCACAATTAAAACTGATTTATCAAAAAAAAACATAAAAAAATTGCATTCACTCACCATAGTTGTTATGAGTAAAACTTTTCAGGCATTCGTTATGTCCAACTTTCCACATTCGAACAGTGTTATCCACAGAAGATGATAGAAGATACTGTATTAGTTTAACAAAGAAGTTTATTAGGAATTTTGCAGATTTTAAGTGTTTTCTAAATAAAGTGTTATAATTCTAAGTTACTAACCCCTTTTCTAGACCATGAAAGGGACAAGATTTCTCCACCATGTCCATGGAACTCATGAACAGGTTTCTCCAAGATTCTGAAGACTTTAGGTGGTAGAATAACGCAAGCCACTTCTGATGATTTTCTGAACCCTTTAATCTTTCGTGATTTTTCTTTATTGACAGGGGCTAATTCGGAAAGATGATTAGTTGAAAAGTAGAAAGATGAAGGATCGGTTTCTTGAATCTCATATATTCTTGGATCTTGATCTTCAAAAATCTTCCAAATCCGGATAATACAATCTTCACCAGCACTTGCTAAGTATCTACCATCATGACTGAATTTTATGATTGAGATGTAACCACTGTGTGCTGCAAATTCTTGTGTGGCATAAAGAGATGATAATTCTTTTGATTTCTTTTTATGTGTGTGTACAGGAACTGAACTGGTTTTTGAGTTTGTGTTATTGGGCTTCAAAGTTACTGATTCCTCATGTTTATCTGTGATTCTAGCCATGATACTTAGCTTTTGGAGCCAATTCTTCTTTACTTTCTTCCTCCTATCTAACAAATTAACAGTTTCACCTTCTTTCCGTGATGACCTATGAGAAGATGAACTAAAATTCCTTACTAAACCATCTTCATGGAAATCGAATGATCTTTTTATCAATATGTCTTCACCTGATTCATCCCAATTTCCAACTTTGACGCGATTTAAACCAGAAGGTATCAACTCCATGGCTGTATTTGACCAAATAGACAATGATGGCTGCCTACACAAAATACGATCTTGAAAGTCTGAATTTTGAGGCGAGACAAGAATTTTGTCTTCATTAATTTCGTGAATGAAATCATCTTCATACTCCTCTTCTCCTTCTCTGTTTACAAGCCATTTAGAATTTAAACCCATGAATCTCAGGAATTTATCACGACGAGAGTCAACACCTTCCATATTCCCAACCCAATAATCATAGTCAAAACCAGAGGTAGAACAGTCTTCTGGGGAGCAATCGGAGCCTGAGTCAGACATTGAAGCAAACGCCTCACGGGCGTCAAAAAATTCATCTTCGTTATCACTGTAACTACCCATCTTCGATTCCTAAAATTTCACCTTGTCAAAACCTAACCGACAAATGTCATTGAATTAATATAATTTAGCACGGAAGATTGTATCTTGAATAAACGGAATTTTGGTTTATGAAAGGTGAAACATCCGAACCCTAACGCCAACTTCAATATGGATTACTTTTCAAACAAACAAAGAATATGAAGATTAGATTTTGCTGGATAAACTAATTACCCAAAGATGGTATTTCTTATCAGCAGATGACAAACAAATCATCCAAAGATGGTATTTTCCAGATTAATTATTCAAATTTCCGATAAATTCATAATCCGAGTATGGAACATAGCAAATTCCATCATAGTTGTTGCATATTTGAACGAAAATCAGGATGAATACCAATCTGAACAAACAACCATATGAAATCTTAGATCATAGGAACAATTCTAACCTGTTTACTCATCAAAATTGAATCAGTTATGAAACCGACCCCAAAGTTGAAGATGTGTGAGTTTCAGTTCTTCAACGCTCTCTCTTAGATTCTCTGTAGATAAAGCCTAAGCGAATTGCATAAATATTATGAAAGGGACAAATTTTGACTTAAGGGGGTACGATCAAAATAAGGCAACTACTACTCGGGAAAGAGCGTTGTATGAAATGGGTAGGCCCGAATGAAGACATCGGGGTTGGGTTATCTATATCTCTCTCTACTCTCTATCTCTAGATTGCCTGTCTTGTAGTATAACTTTCTCTCTCTAGTGGGTGGAGCAACCATTGTTGAGAAAGAATACAAAGGAGTGAGAAAGACACGAAGGATTAGCGGGGCCTGCTTTGATGCGTCCGTTCAACCAACGGTTGCAACGATACCATCAATGTTTCCATGTATGTAATTTTGATAGTAATTAATTATACGCTTAGTCTTTATAAAAACAATTTAATGTAAATAATATTATAGTTAATTTTTAAAAATCGGATCCAACTTAATTAATAAAAAAATATTCAATCATAAGGTGTTTTAACTTTTAATATATTGTAGGGTTCATTTGATGTGGATTATCATGATCTAAACAGATCATCTCTTTTGTTATCCTCAAATGTTGTTAGATCTCCGGTCACCAACTTCTTGAGTTTTTGCTTCGTCGACTATCACACCAAGAAGAAGGGAGGGGATGGCGCAAGTAAAGAAGAAAGGTAGGAGATAGTTTAGGATTTAAATAATGAATTGTTACTATAAAATTATGAAAACTGTGTTCATTACAGCGATAATATATGCTTTTCTTTTTTTTTTAAATTTAATTATCATCATACAATGAGTGAGATGGCAAACGGGCAACAAGCTGTGCCGCTAAGCCTTTTTGTATGGTAAAAACTAATTCTTTTAAAGACTGCATCCATAGATCTAGAGGATATAACATTGTTATGCATGATCCGTTGTACTCTATTAAGAAGCTCTATCGCATATGGCGCGAGGAAACCAAACGTATCAAATGCAAATGGTATGAACACGTGCTGATTTTCCATGCACGATTTCTCATGTTTGGTGATTTTGCATGTAGCAGCTTTTAAAGCAACATGTCCCGCCGTGAAACCCGCAGCCCTCAAGCCCACGAGAGGGGATACCTCTGTAAGGTCCACACATGCGTGTTTCCCTCCAACCCATCCAAAAATCAAAATGTCAGCTGGTCTGAGGGTTAACCTTCCTTCTGCCAGGTCAGTCAAGAAATTAACAGGTGCCTCTTTTTTAGCGGAAACCCCGACATGCGTAAATATGGCAAACAAAACATCTCTAACCATATTGTGCCTGTATTTGAACCTCGGGAGTTCTTTACAGTGAACTGCATGTTCTCCAAAAAGAGTCCAAACATGTCTTACGACACACCGGGCATATCTCGTCAGCTGGGAATATTGGAATCATAAGTCGATATTTGAGGATAGTACAATACTCCACAGGAGACATATGTTGGCCAAGCCCATCTATAGGGATAGCTAAAAGAAATTTTTGAGCATGTGGTGCACGTAAGCACTAGAAAACCGCTTTTTGTCGAGTCGTCATGTCGAGATGCACTTCCATATCTTGGACAATTTTACGAAAAAGGGCACTCGCCAGTGTATTCTGGGATTTAGGGGGGTTGTGTCTTTAGTAGTAAAATTGTTAAGGTCAAAATCTGGAAACCTGTTACGAAGAGAAGCCAAGGCACAATCATAATCAGAATCCATAGCATATATGCCGCTATCCCGTAAAATGTGGTCTTGCAATACCCAAGATTGAAGCAACAAAAGCATATGAGGTAGCCTCTACTGCCGAGTATAAACCCAAACCTCCAAACCTAATGGGTAAGGAAGCAATTCGCCACTGTATGTCGCCAAAGAAAGGGCAACCACAAACCAAAATGTCCTCAATCGCCCCGCGCAACCCGTTGTCAAAGAACATTGTCGCCTCCTCCATGTGAACGGGTTGGCACGTCCTCAGCCCAAAGAAAAGTTTAGAAATACCCATACAAGGCCGAAGCAGAAGGAGCTCACTTTGGGGGTCAGACAATTGTGGAAGAAGTTGCATCGAATTCACAACGTTTTCGACTCTCTTTATGGCTAAGCTGCTAATGAAACTAGCATCTCTACTAACAGCTCCCCCAAGAAGTTTCACCCCCAAAGGCGGCCTCCTGATGCCAGCCGGGAATAGCCCCTCACGTAGCTTCCAACACTTTGGCCACCTCCTCCGAATCTCCAATAAGTGTGTCATCATCAAGGTACCATGCATGGAGAAGAAGCTTGCAATTGTCTATAATGTTATGCAAGAGCGGGTGCAACACAAGGGCAAAGAGAAGTGGTCCCAAGGGGTCTCCTTGCTGAACCCCCAGTAGTGGACCAAATATGTGTGTTGCCTAGATACAACCTTGCTGCTTGACCATATAGGAATTTTACCCACAAGGATATAGAAGGACACCTCAACCTGACCTCATGAAGTAATGCGGATTTGTCAACAAGGTTAAAGGCATTAGAGAAATCCACGGTAAGCATGGAGAGGGATCCGCCATCGTGGCGCTCACTCAACAACCTATTGGCGCTATGTAATACAGATATATTAATAATAGCGGATGAGTCTTTCTATTCTTTAAGATATTAAAGGGATAGTTGTCTTTTAGTAAAAATTATTCGGGTGGGTAGATTTGTCACCACCACCATCACTTTCGTCACCTCAACCACTAACGTCTCTTCGCCACCACCATAACCATCTCTGCCACCCACACCCCCTCCCCTCCCTTTTTCATCATCTCAATAGTAGCGAACAGTGGAATGGTCATTTTTCAATACATGTAATGCCTTATGTTTTTCCCTTTTTATTAAGTAGGGAAAGTGTTTAATAAATGATAAAAATAATGTAGCATTTGAGAATAAAACCTTAAGGCCATATAAATAAGTTAACTACATAAAAGGAGTTATATAAAAAGTTAGAGACTACTTAGTATTTAATATGATAAAATACATTTCATAAATAATTAAAAGTATACAAATGACTTTAAAAGGATCAAAGTACCTATGAAGGACTAAATTAGGGTTTTTTATACTTACAATGAATTTTAGTCTTAAGGACCATTAATCCCATTATGCCAAACTCGAGGAACCAAAGCTGCTAAAAGCCCATTTTTTTCATTAAACCTCGCGTGAACTCTTTCTCTCTTGGTTGCCATCTTGTTGGAAGACTAGAAACGATCTTTGGATCCCTAGCCTTTATCGACCCCCTTAATCTCCTTATAACCCTTGCAATACCTAACCTTAATCCCATTAAGTTTGGTGTGTATGTGTGTGTGCGTCAAAAGAATGGGAGAACCTAGGGAGGAAAGAAGTTATGACAACAGCGGGAGGTAGTGGATTGTTGGTGATCGGATTTTGCAGCAACATCAGTATGCCATCCTAATGCTCTCTAGCAACCTAACAACCATCATCAACCACCAGCGGCAATCTAGGTTGTCGGATTTCGCATCACACCACACCAAGTTGGTGGTTGTGGTTGTGTCGAGTTCCATCTTTAAAAGGGTCAAAATTTTGGTTCTTTCCGATTAAGCTCTTGGAGACCACCATGAAGAGCTAGAAAGATAACCAAGAGCATCATGGAAAACTAGCTTTGTTATTCATCTTTTAGGCATGAAATCAATCATGTGAAACATTGTACTCTTAGTCTTAAACCATGTCTTATGACATTATTTAAATTATAATAGGTTGATAACTTTATCGCTAAAGTCTTATGATTAAGGATTTAATAGAAGGACTAAATGAACGTGTTGGAATATTAGAGTTGTAGATCGATAGATTCCAAACAGAAAAACAATATTTAATCAAGTAAAGAACACAAGAATGGATCAATGATGTCGAATGATTAATAACTCACACCTCAGAAGAGCTCGATGAAGAACTTCGACTGTAGAGGTATGTTAGGGTTACAATGCAAGTAATTAATGAGAACGATCAATTCCAAAGCTATACATGCATGCAATATTTATATTCTAACCCTAATGTTTATCCACGGTTGGACAGGCCCAAACCGGGGTTAACTAAATGGACTTATAGCCGAGCCCACAGACGCAACACCAGACCCAACAATCTCCCCCTTTGCGTCAATTGAGGCGAGAGACTACTTCGGTTGAGTGACCTTGATCTTCTTTACAACTTTGAAGAGCCGAGGGATGAACGCAAGAAGCGTCTGACGAAACTGAATATACCACCGAAGCATATCAGTGAACAATTTCTTATCAGCATCACTGTTCTGATTACACCTATGTATGATCTCCAAAATGTGCTCCAAACAAGAAGTGGAAAATAGGTGTTTGTCAATCAGAGCGAACATGCATTTTTGACCTTCGCCCCTTGTGAACATAACAGTGTGACATTTTGGATCGATCTTCCCCTTAACCATTGCATTTACATCGCCTGCCTTTCCAATCGCTTTCACAGTGGTTCGCTTATGAATAGCAGCAACGATCTCCTGATCCATCTTCGCGACTTCATGAATATAACATACAAGCATCCGCTTGATGTGATCGATAATAGGCTGATACTCCTGTGGATTGGTCAGCAAAATATTATTAAGGAGTATCCAGTCGTGAGGGTTCAAGTTCGGTAGGTCAGCCAAGGAAATCATATGGACCGAGTTATCAGAGCCTCGAGTCACTTTGAATTTAATGTTAATAAATTTCCCTACCGAAGTGGGCTTCAAGACCTTGACCGTTGTGATTTTCTGAGTGCTCCAGGTCAGGTATTGTGGCTGAGCAAACTCAAGATAATACTCGAGCAAATCCCGATCTACCTTCGGGTCTGGAGAAGGAATGCCCACCGTCGACTCAAAACAATGAAAGATGAATGTCTTTCGGGTGATTGGCATGTCAAACTGTAAGTCCTTTGAGTTCTCAAGGCCGAAACGGGTTCAAGCCAATGAGTGCTCAGTGCATCAATAACCTCCCTGAGAAGCGATTCCATAGTCCATTCAGGAAACATGGACTTCTTCTGCTCTAGCAGTTCCTTCGCTTTCAATTCCTTCTCAATAAGTTCCTTCTCTTTCTGAACCTTCTCTCGAATCTCTTGATCAGTAGGCTTGATTTTCTGATCAAGTTTAGAAGCATTCCTTTCAGTATTTTCTTGCATATCATCATCATCATCATCATCATCATCATCTTCTCCAATCTTCTTCTTTATTCTGTCCCTCATACTGCCCGATGCTTCATTAACCTTCGGCTCAGTAGTGACGTTCGGTTTGGGAGGTGGATGAGGTTGACCTTTTCCCTGAGTAGCCTTATCTCCCCCTTGTTTCGGATGGACACCAGTCACCGGAACACCTTCGATACGACTCA